ATAAACCACCCATGCGATAGAAAACGGATTCCAACCATTTGGTCCACGTCCAAGAAATGAGGCGTTTCAAGCTCGTGCTCCACATTCGCAGCGAAACCTAATTCACAATGTGGCAGTGCTGTGTCTCGTCAGTTAGGTAGGAAATACTCTGCTAATTTGAGCCGCAACGTAGAATTAACGGCCCACACAAATATAGGACTCTTTTCCAGTGGGATGGTTCGGCTATTCAGGCTACCTGCCGTTTCACTTTTAGGCTTAGTGGTTCTCAAGCTTTTCAGTAATAATGCTGTTGCATTCAGGAAATCGTGAAACAACGTTCTGATATCAAGATCGTCATCATGTCCGCCACACTGGACGCAGGAAAGTTCCAAAGTTATTTCGAAAACTGCCCATTGATGGCTGTCCCAGGACGGACGTTCCCCGTGGAGATTTTCGTACGTCACTGGTTTTGAGGTTTTCAAAATAGAGCGCTGCGGAACAGAATTCCTTCAATGATTTAGTTTTTAGTTCACTCCAGAACCGGAAAAAGATTACCTAGAAGCTGCAATTAGGACTGTGATACAGATTCATGTATGCGAAGAAACTGAAGGAGATATTCTGCTCTTTCTTACCGGCCAAGAGGTAAGTGATTGTGGAAACTAGCTTGAATAGAATTTGTAGAGTATAACGTGGTAACACTAGTGTATTCGCTGCAGAAAGAGAGCGTGAATGTCAGGGGCGGGCTTCTGGTGAGATCTAGTGTGTGCGGGTGTTGTACCAAGAGCGCTTGGTGCAAGAGTGCGAAAAACTGTCTTCAAAAAATTTCTTATTTACTTCATCAAAGTGCTTCCATGTTGGTACATTTTTGACGCTAAGGTAGTTCGAGACGAAAAGGGGGGGGGGGTGACGGGGCACCACTACGTCCCGTTACTAGGCAGCACGTCTGCATCATTACATAGAGAACATGCATATCTTCCCCTCAACAGTTCTAGCCCTGGAAGAGAGCCATGGTGAGCGCTGTCTAATCTGACTCTCCCCGTGCCCGCCCCGCATTTTTTCACATTTTTTTAACCGTTGAAAATATGATTTGTTTAGGAAATTGAAGAAGCATGTAAACGGATAAAGCGTGAGATTGACAACCTCGGTCCGTCGGTTGGTGCATTGAATTGCATCCCACTGTACTCATCACTTCCTCCGAATCAACAGCAACGGATTTTTCGAGGCGGCGCCCCCTAGTAGACCAGGAGCGATAGGTACGTTTACCTTTTTTGCTATTCATTTCTACAGAAGTGTTTTTTCCTTCTTTCTGTTCTTTTTTTCATTCGTTCTTGGAGATTTGGTT